GGTATATCCGGAGTGGTGGGACATAGAGGAAATCGCCGCTGCCACCACCGTTGCCGTTGGTGATGGTGGGGCCTATAGATGGTGGCGTCACTATCGCATACTCATAAGACTAGTTCCTTACAAGTACTAGTTGATCCTCGATCGTCCTCGGTAATATGATACACGAAATCTGATAATTTTTTGCTCACAGTTTCCAATACATTATTTATTGTAGTTCAACTAAGTAATTTTATCATTTTCTCTATCTTTTTTTCTTTTATTTTTATTTTGAAATAGTTTCACCGATTTCTGACTGAATATGTATATTCTTATCGATGTTTTCAATAGTAAGCACCAGTTGTGCTATATAAGTGCTTTGTTTTAACTGTGTGAAATGAACGAGCAAGAGGAAGATGATATCATCAAGTACGTGAAAATATGTATAATGAATCCTTTAATCTCCACTCAGAGATTGAAGAAGACTTTCTACAAATTATGACGTCAACAAATATCCAGTAGGCCTACATATATTTACTTAACATTAGAAACTTAAAAATATTTATTTGCTCTCGATACAATAAGAAAATGTTTAAAATAAATATTTTTATTTCGAATAGATAAATAATCCAATAGCTAATAGTTTACATATATTTTCGTTATTTCGAAATCTTATACGTTTCGAAATTTCAAAATCAATCGTTTTTAAATTGGATATCATAATTTCATAGTAACATCATAGCTGATAAAAATAAAGATACTAGAAGGTTAGTGTCATATTGATACTGTATGACACTAAGTATCAGTGCTCCTCGCCCTGAGGAAATGAACAGCAAGGTTCACGAAACGTTGGCATTAGCGATGGATAAAGACCCGATAACCCAAACCTGGTATCTTTGAAGAAAATATCTGTGAAAACCTCAAAATATCAAAAATAGAAAAATTAATTTAATCATATAGGAAAATTAAAATTTTTAGTAGAAAATAATTATACATTTTCTTTGAATTATCTAGAGTAAAAAAAATATTTGTAATTCTGATGTTATTTATAAGACGCTATTCAATGATATGTTTCCAATAGGAATGTATCATGGATAGCTTGGACTATCCATTATAATATTTTCTCTCATCATTGAAATGTATTATTTATTAAAATTTATAGTATATAATACTTTCATAGAAGTTTGAAATAAATTAATTGTAGAAGAAAAAATATATACTGTAAATTGATTAATCTTTTTAGTTGAACGTGAATCTTTTTAGTGAAACGTCATGTCTATTCACATTCTTTCTTAAAAAATTTAAAGAAGAATTTTATGTATATTTAAAACTTTAAATAGTGCTGACCGCTTTGTTTAATTATCTTTTATCATTTTTCAGACAGCTTCATTATTCTATTTCGAAGAAGTTTTTTTCAACGAGCTAAGAAAAATGGAAAATTTCTCTAAACTTTCTAAAATTTTTCAAAAAAGAAGTTTTATAGCATATTTTGTATTTATTCTGTAACGTGTCTGTAAAGATTATAATGGCAAAACGGTAGGAAATATCGGCAGGACATTTCTATTTATCAAGTTACATCAGTTTTCTATGAATGGTTTTCTATGAATGAAGAAATATGACGTTCGCCATTGTTCTAATAGAACAGTATATTTCCTTCAGTTCTTAAACAATGAACCGGACGTGTATAATTAAAACATGCAATGTTCTACCTCTGGAGCGGCCATAATAAATGTCTTAATTATAATTACAATTATACAATTATATAATTTTATATAATATGATTATATGAATTGCTCGCACAATTAATTGTATTGTAAAAATAAATTTAACGTTACAAATTTTAAAATTTAATATATGTATAACGAGACAAGAGCTTTAAATGAAGTGTTGTAAGAATCATTATAGAAATTATTGTAGAAGATATGCAACATGTGAATAACAGAAAACTTTTTATAATTAATAAAGAGATAAAAATTATTTCAAAAAAATAAAATTACTTAAAAAGAACAAATTTTAACAATGGTTTGACAGCAGTAAGAAAATTATATTTTCTTATTATAGTGTCGAGACTTCTGAGGCAGAACATTTTGTACCTGCTATCAATTTAGCACAGTCAGTAGCTCATTAAGATGCGAGCTGTAAAGCGAGGAGGATCAACACAAAAATAGGGTCTTAAGTTATATCTAAATCCGACTACTGTACGTTCTAGTCAATTCTTGATATTTTTTTGTTAATTGCTTTAATCGATTTAATCACGAATATTTATAAGTATTTGACTGTTCGATTCACACAATGCATGATACATATGATGTCTTTCTAACATCATTAGTCATGAGATTTCTTCGAATAAAGATCAATCTTTGGAATATCTTAATAGTTCGGTTTTCAGTTCATTTTTTCTGAGTCTTTTCTTGGATCTTTGTGCATTGTTGTCGATTTTTCATCCATTTTTCATCGTCACCGTCATCATTCATTTAAAAAGTGGATCGTTTTTGTCACGTTTAGCAGTAAGTCAAAATTGATGTTCATTAATCATTAAATTCTTCTTAGTCAGTTCGTATGATATTCAAACGTCATTAGTTAAGTTTGCGCAAATAATTTTCAATGGATTTCGTTATAATGGATTATATATCTTTGATCTCACAAGCTGTTTGACATAATATGTAGATTTCATTAACATTTTGACTCGATCAACTTTAGTCAGTTTTCTAGAGTGTGAAGAATTTTTAATAAAAAAATTTTCTGCATAAAATATAATAAACGAATAATAATTCAAATAACAAGCTGCTTCTCATTCTTCATTTGAACGTTGAATATCGGCATCCTTTGCAATAATTCAATTGTTCTCATAATTTACTTGCGTCTGGTATGTCTTACATCTGCGATCCGATGAATCATATATTTACATGTTCAATTTGCGGCTTCAAGCACTTGTTTTTAATGTTTTCTATACTGTTTGCAACTATATTATATTATTTATACTCATTAAAAATTGCAGACTTTCCTCTTTTCAGCGCAATTTTTATTTTTTCAATAACTGAATACCTTCGAAAATGACAGCTGATTAGTTTCAACACATTCCCATGGGACACCCTGTATATAAGATTTTTTATTGTCATTATAGTTTGACTTTAATTTGTGAATTTTAAACATTATCCATAAAAAATACCGGTTACTATTCGATTTTACTATTCTCTTATGCAACTTTTCATTAAAACTAAAACATCTTACATGCGTAATTAATATTATTTTTTAGCTATAGAAAACGTATGTATATGTCTTCAAAGAATATCTTATTTTCGAGCCCAATATACGCCCGATTGTGTCAATGGAAAATAATGTGATATTATATATACACAATCTGTAGTAGTACATTGATAGGATAACGCCGTAGCAACATCGAACGTAAAAGATCAAACAAAATTATGGAATTTCACTCTTATTTGTTCAGAGATGCTAGATAGCTTAATAGAATGGTCAAGTGAAAAATCCGGCTTTGATTTCCAGCTCTCGCGTTTCACATAAGATATAAAGAACTGTGAGTAGAAAAATAATGTGATAAAATGTGTAACACTTACAAAAATGATTATTAGGAATAAACTTAATGATCGAAAATATCAATATTTATTCATTCTGGAAAAATATTATTTTCTTATAATAGAAATAAAATGAAAATAAAAACTAATATTAAAATATTTTTATAAAAAAAAAAAGTTATAAGTACTACTAATATTTTCTTCGAAAATGGAATTCTATAATAAGAGTTAAAATAGTTTGTGCATTATCTAAAGTCGAATGTTTCTCTGAAATGCGAGATAGACTCATATCTATTTTATGTACCGTTTTCAAGATTCTGGAATGCATTGTTGCTAAGCAGATATATTTCTACTTTTTTCGACTCTGAAAAAACGTTTGACACAAAATGTCAACTATCATCTTTTAATAAAGAAATTGAGATATTCGAATTTTTCTTGTTCTGCATTTTATTGAATATATTTCTATTTGCATTAGAGAAACTTCGAGATTCAATCATTATGATTCAGTAGTACTTCAATAATACTTTTAGTAGGTATATCTTTAAGTATTAAAATACTTATTATTCGTTCTTTCTATCTAATGGTCTTTAACAAAGTGTAAAAAGTGTTAAAAGATTATAAGTAAAATTTCTTAATAGTGATAATTTACTTACATACATATCGAATCAAGAAATCTTTATGATCCAAAGTTGAAGATTAGTACAATATATAATTAACTAAATAACTAACTAATAATAAGATTACATTAAAAACAAAATAGTTATAATTTTATTTAAATATAATTTTACAATATATCAATAATATCTGTTTTACGGTATTATAGTTACTGATATTATTATACTGTATATGTATAGGATATTTTATCTAATTCATTTACACTTGAAAGAAAAATGTATGAAATATGCACAAGCATATACATACGCACTTTTTGTTCATTTTTATATTATTGCTAATTTCTAAAAAAATGTATTGTATACATATAATATTAAAATATTCTTTTGATAGGAGCGTTTAATAGATAGTAATTAATTTCCTTTTTTTCTCTTTCTCTAATGAATATATGATTACTTTCTATATATAAAGAATATACATATTTCGATATAAAGAACCGGAAACTCGTTTATATCACTATCATTAAAAATTCCGTTTTTGTCGTACATCCTGAGTATAATATGTATATGGGACGTCAACTTATCTTTCATGTTAACCTTGGCGCTTATGTTAATCGTCAAGTGAAACTTCAAAAGCACAAATGCTGATGTATCTATCCTCATTTTAATGTTAGTCGTATAGCTATCAGTTTTCGCATATTCGCATGTATGTGAAAAATGTATTAACCTTGCTTTTTGAGGTTTCACGTGAAATCTGCTAAGCATGCGTCATTTATAAAACATAAACGTATATGATTATTGAACAGTATATATGATATAAATTACAGATAGAAACAATGGATTATTATTTATCAATTTTCATCATTTTATTTTGCAGGAGAAGAAAATGACTTTACATCAGATGGTGAAGAGAGTGGTGGTGGTGGAGGAGGTGGCGAGGAAGCCGTGGATCTCACAGCGACGAGATCTCATCAGGGCGACGATGATCCTATGGAAGAGGATGAGGAAGAAGGTATTGATGAACAAGACGAGCAGGATGAGGATGAGGAGGGTTCACGCAAACAGATTCATCATCGACAAGACGCGGAGAATAATAATAATTTTGTGGAGAGCGGCTTACCTACCGCTATATTCCCACCAGCTGGAACTAGTCACGTCACCCTCGAAGCCCTTCAGAATACAAAAGTGGCGGTCGCTCAGTTTGCTGCTACTGCTCTTACTGGGGCAGACAGCGAAGCGGCGCTACAAGACCTGGCATTTCTGGAAAACACGCTGTGCACCCTTCAGAATCAACAGGTATTACAATTACAGCTGATTCGACAACTTCAGCAGCAATTATTGATCACTCACGGGCAATCGGTAATGCAATCGTCGACGGAATCAACCGATAACAAAGAGGCTTCGTCGTCTCCTATTATTCATCCGAAACCATTGTCGAGTCTCGCGTCACCTCCTTCTTCTCGTCCGCCAAGTCATCATCAGCAAACATCACCAGCGCCGCTGACACCGAATCTGCTTCAGGAACGACCCACCTCGACGAGCAGCGCCTCTCCTTTGAATCTACCCTTATCTTCGTCCGGCACGACATCAACTGTCATTACGACCACCAGCAGTCAGATGCCAATGCCACATCAAATACCACATTGCTCGATAAGCGCTTCCCTCGCTTCATCGATCATAACGAACACCGATCCGCCTCCGCTTCACGAGCCAAATACTCTGGACATTCTTCAAAAACGTACCCAGGAAGTATTGGATAATGCGAGTCAAGGACTAGCTAACAATTTGGCCGACGAGCTCGCGTTTAGAGGCAAGGGCTCGCGACTATCTCCTTACGATTCGAAATCAAGCGGTGGTCGCGGCGAGCCCTTCTTCAAGCATCGATGTCGCTTCTGTGGCAAAGTCTTCGGTAGCGACTCGGCGCTACAAATCCACATACGATCCCACACAGGTGAGCGACCTTTTAAGTGCAACGTATGTGGCAGTCGGTTTACAACCAAGGGCAACCTGAAGGTCCACTTCCAAAGGCACACGGCCAAATTTCCACATGTTAAGATGAATCCGAATCCCGTTCCAGAACATTTAGATAAATATCACCCACCCCTCTTGCAGCAAATTGCTTCCGGGAGACCGATGCCGTCCCCGCCGCCGCCACCACCACCATCCTCTCATCACCCCTCGTTTCATCCGGCAACAACGCACGGTTTCCTCCCACCACAACCACCCATACCTCTGAGTCTCACCTTATCCAATATGACGCCCCTTTATCGATCTCCAGTTATTAATCATCGGGACGATCAAGATGTACCGGAGAACCTTAGTAAACCTATAACCACCGCTCCACAGACATCACCCACTTCTCCCGCTGCCGTATTGAATTCTCGTCATTCCTTTCATGACAATCTTCATCAACAACATCAAAAGCAGCAACTTGAACAGAGAGAGGAGATAAAGCTCGAACAGAGATCACCCGGACAGGAGCAGTATCAACGACCGATGAGTCGGGAAGGCGCTGAGCGTATAACACCGAAGAGAGAACCTGAGGAAGCGGAAGAAGTTGCAGAGGAAGAGAGCGAAGATTTTGAGGACACCACGAGACGATACCTCAATTCACCTCAATCCGCGAATCCACCGTCCCAACCGCAAACGTACGAGGATTGTAGTATGGATAGTAAAATCAGTGGACGTTTAGAAGGCGACGGAGAGATGGAAGTGGACGAGGAAATAGAAGAACAGCCTGAAAACCTCTCAAGCAGAGGTACAATCAATCGTTTGCCTCAACAGATTGTGACATACCCAGGAGCATCGCCAGCCAGCAGTAGCGCGAGTAGCGGTAGTCTACAGACATCTTTCGCTGGAATCCTATTTCCAGGTCCCCCGGCTCATCACCAAATTCCTCATCTTCCTGTTTCTACGCAGACAGGACCAATCATGGCATCCGGAAATGAAATGATCGATCCAGCCAAGGACCCAGCGATTTATTCGACTTTACTACCACGGCCGGGCAGCAATGACAATTCCTGGGAGAGCTTGATTGAAATAACGAAAACTTCAGAGACGTCCAAGCTACAGCAACTAGTCGACAATATCGAGCATAAACTGAGCGATCCTAATCAGTGCATCGTTTGCCACAGAGTGCTCTCATGCAAGAGCGCGTTACTGATGCATTATCGCACTCACACTGGCGAACGTCCTTTCAAGTGTAAAATTTGCGGTCGTGCTTTCACGACGAAGGGCAATCTGAAAACCCACATGGGAGTGCACAGAGCTAAACCACCACTGAGAGTGTTGCATCAGTGTCCTGTGTGTCACAAGAAATTTACGAACTCTCTCGTATTGCAGCAACACATACGTCTTCATACCGGAGAACCCACCGATCTCAGTCCGGAACAGATTCAGGCTGCAGAAGTGAATGAGTTCCCACCCGGTTACCATCCGTTGGCATCTTTTCTCCCTCAAGGCTTTCCACCGATACATCCGACCAGTACAGGCTTCTCCTTAGGATTCCCTCCATCCAGGCAAACGGCTATCGAACAACAATTGCAGGAGAGCGACATCGAAACGAAAGAGGAATCTCAGCAACGACAGAGATTTATGGAGGAGCATAGCGAAGAAATGGAAGATCAAGAAGATGAAGAGCAAGATCACAGAGAGGACGATGATAGGTGCGAATTGAATCGCGATAGGCGTAGCGTTGAAATCGAAGAGGAGCAGGATCACGAAAGTGAAGATACAACCGAACACAAGGACGTAACACTTCCTATATTTTCGACTTCGTTGGCGGCGCTCGAGAACCAAGTAAGGACCATCACGACGACAGCCGCGACCACGAACGTAGCCAGGTCACCGTCCTTTCATCGATACAACGGTAGCGAGAAGAGCACTAGCCCACCAACATCCGGAGCTCCGCTCGACTTGACGCCCCGTGCTTCGTCCACGCCAGCGTCGGTGGCTTCAGCATCGCCGACACCACCACCCCAAACTACGCCGCATCATCCACCAAATCCCTTCGGCATGTTCGCGGGACTACTACAAGCAGTTTCGTCTACTCCTGCTACTAGCACGATAGGCACATCGAACATAAACAGCATCACTTCGATGAATGCCGTGAACCCGGGAAATGGGCCTGGCACCGGACCACTAGCCTCGCTGACCACTTCAGCCGTACTAGCTGCATCATCGACCTACAATCCGCTCGGCCTAGCTGTTGGAGGCCCAGCAGGTAGGAACTGCTAGCATCAGGGCGGGCTGCGGTTCCTGCTACACCTTATTCCTCGTCCGACTATGATCATGATTCTTTGCCGCGAATCGTTAAGTCCAGTATCGTCGAGTATTTACCTATATCTCAGTGGCGTATCCGTCTTATCCAATCTCATATCAATGTCCTGTTTGTGGTGTAGCTGGACCTAGCACTCCCATTCTCCTGTTATATAACTTTCTTCTTTTTTATCTGTTTTGTTACCTTTGTTTCAATAATCATTTTTTCTCTTTATCTCTATTGTTATATCTATATCATTATATATTATTATATATTATTATAACCTATATTGTTATACTCCTTAATCGTCTTTCTTATATTCCTTAATGTTATGCGATAATTTCTGTTTTCCATTGTATTTACGCTATCTCTTGCGATACCGCGTCGCATACGAGTGTAGAATGTCTTTGTGATTTCATCGTATTTAAAACGGTGTAATTTCGATTTCCTTATTTTGGCTTATTTTTATTTTTTTTTTATTTAGAAAACTAAAAGTGAAGACTCGGTTTCAATATTAGAAAACAACTGGAAGTTAATCATTCTACATTAATACAATAACGATTGATGCCCGCTTGGAAAAGATTCAAAGGCAAGTAGGTTTATAAAATATGAAAAAATGGCAAAAGATAGCGAGCAACAATAAGGAATATTCTTTAAATCAATTTTATTAACTATTCCTATCAATACCAAAAAAGATGGCCACATTATTTATAACAAATTAGTAATGATACATATTGTAAATATTAATTATATTCCAACGCATTAAAATAATTTCTTATCATTATTGTGTTTTAGTATTACTTTTTTTACTTTATTATTTCTTAATAATTTATTGTTTCAGGTTTTAATTTAGATATAATATTCAACATTTTTTAATACTCGTATACAGGGTGTCCCAGAATATTTCAGACAATTTTCGTATGCCCTTAGAGCGGATTGACAATGAGTCAAAAAGTTGTGTATCATTTTGCAACTTTCGCAATAGTTAACGAGATATTTATTTCTAAAGATTCGCCTACCGCCAAATGCAACGTACGATGAGATACGATCGCCCAGCACGGGGAATTGTTTTCTTTCGTCATCATACATAATTATTGCCGCCGTAATAAACTTCCCGCGCGTCTATGGACCATAACATAATCCAGTTAAATGCAACTTTTAAAGGCCCTATAGGAGATCTCGGGAAAAATTTAACTAGATCTTGTTCTGGGTGAACAGATCTACAATTTGAGGGGAGTAACGACCCATTTGAACGCTTCGAACCTTGCTAAAATCGACCTTGAACTCGAAATTTGGTCATTTTTCACATTAATCGGGCTATATTTCTTAAGGCGTATATCGTAGGGTTAAATGAATTATTGCATCGTGTTCAGCGACCAAAAAAACATACAGTACCACATTTAAAATCCGAATCAAGTTATTTTTGCATCAAATCAAACATGTATTAAGGAAAATCGAAACTTTGATTTAAAAATCAATCACTAACGACCTCTAAATCTTAATATTTTTTGATAAAAATTTAGGGGTGTTCTTTTGGCATGAAATGGAAGCTTTTGAACTGAGGCCGATTAAAAACAGAATTTTTTTTTCTTGTCAATTTAATATGTATATATGTTAGGAAATAAATGTTATACACAAAATGTATAATACAAGATGAAGATTAAGATAAGTCAGAGTGGATCGGACAACAGTACGATTAATACATAATACTGAGGGCGATTAAATAGGTATATACATGTATAGTTCAGTTTGTCACTTAAAAGTCATTATAGGGCTGTAGGAAAATACTTCTGTAAAAATTAATTCTCAGATGATTGTTAAAGATTATATGTGAGAAAAATCAATATAAACTAAAAAGTACAAAGTGAAAAGTATAAAGCAATTATCGTATCGCAACGAATCGTATTCGAACGTGTTTATTTGCTTATATTAGTCCTAATGGCTTATATTAGTCTGCTTATATTAGTCCTAGTTTACACCCAGCGACCTGACTTGTACCCTGACCTATACCCTAATCTAAAGGAGATCTCGAACGGAGTGGTTACCCTATCTAGACCTATAATATTTTTGGGCTTAACCCAATGAGAAATGACAGTGGAATCGATGTCAAAAAATTACATTATTTTTACGATATAATAGATAAAACTGGAATTAGTATGACATCTGCAATCATAATTCAAAGCGACATTGAAGTACTTTCATATTTAGAAGATAAATCTAAGGAATTAGATATTCTTAATTTGTATCCATACGTCAAACAAATTTTTTTTAAATATGACACATCATTGCCATTGTCAGCGCCAGTAGAGCGCTTTTTTATTTGTGGACAACAAATATTAATTCCATGTAGAAACCGTTTGTTAGACGAAATGTACAAAAAACTTTTATTCGTAAAAAATAAAGATTAATGAAAATATAAATACATTTTTTGTATCCTAATGCCCAATTTCTTCACTTCCAGATAAGTTGCGGATACCCTTATCCAGGAGATATCTCCATTGTATTCTGGGAGATATCTCTTGAATAAAGTTATCTAGAGGTGAAGAAATTGGGCATAAATCGTTTTATTACCTAATAGTTAAAAATGAAATTATCTTAAAAATTATCTAGATAAAAATTTTTTTAATTTCATTTTATCTAGATTAATATAAAGTTAATCATCTTCATCTTATCTAAGATACATTTTTGTGTGATTTATTTTATCTATATCTAAATAATTTTTAATTATGTAAGCGCAACATTGCGTAATACAGTTGTAAATCGAGTTATAAACATAACGTGCAATAAATGTTATTAGAAACGTAACTTGCAATTGGCAATCACATGTAGATTAAATGCGGTTTACATACATTTAGTTAAAAGCCTATTTTAAGTTAGGGCATAGATTAGGTTATAGGTCAGGTCACACAGTGTAAACTAGGCCAATATTGATATATTAGAGGACTAATGTAATCATTAGAGTATTCTACAAAAGAGATAATTCCAATATCTCTCTCTCAAGCTGCTTCTAGCTCTGATGAAGTGAATTGCAATGTTGGCATTCTAATAATGAATCTAGACACGGAGATAACTCGCAAAACGCATAGCTTCTGTATAAAAGAGATCGTTATTGTCTTACTTGATTTTGAAATAAATGTGATAAAAATTTACCTTTCCATATCCTTTCTTATATATGATTATGATTATAATATTGAATACAAGTAATATAAGTTTAGCTGACGTTTATTATTAGTTTCAAAGCTATTAACAAAAGGAAATAATAAAACAGTGACATTATGACATAGATCGATATTCGTAATCGGTTCTTTTATTTAAAATCATCTCAAGTACAATTTTAAGCTATCTGAAGATATCTATCGTGAACTAATTAAAGGGCTGCATTTTAAGACATTACTAAAGACGGTCTTAAGAGCTATAGACAGAGTGAAGGCTTGAAAAATCGGGGATTCTCTTTGGGAATTTTTTTTTTAATATATAATAAAGTCAGGTAATTTTGTTTTATGGTGTTTTTATTCTATCAGTACTGAAGTACTTAAAAAAATTTTTTTTGTCTCGGTTACTGGAATTAATGTGAATCTTTTTTTTAATTTGGCCTTTTTTATTACAAAAAAGTTGAATAAAATTGTGAAATTTTTATTAATTAAAAAATGGCTAGAGTTCCGCGATAGAGGTAAGTTTTCTGAATAAAATGCAATTTACACCAAGTCAATAGGTCGAATAGATTTGTTTATTTGCTATCAACCTGGTTTGAACAGGTTGTTAAATAATATTGTAGCGACATTGGTGGCAATTTGGACGATGGGGGTACCACTGAATAGTGACTTAGGTGCGATTTTCCAAATAACTTGATTAAAGCTTTCATTGTTATTTTGATTACAACTGCATATACTTTTCCCCCTCTCTATACACTCTGACAAAGAACCCCTCGTGCAATTCAGAGAAAGTCGAGTTGTCGCGTCGCTTATACTGCGCTCTCGTGCTCCATCGCGCTTCGTCGTACAAAAACTGCTCCACGAAAATTGCTGTATTTCCGTCAATTTTCCGAATATCTTAAAACCGAATATTTTAAAACTTGGCATATGTATTCTCGATACGTACATTTTTCAAAATATTACAAAATTAAAAAATCGATACGTACATCTTTTCAAAATTTTACCCTGTCTATAGCCCTTAAAGTAAGAATGGACTATAAATATCACCAAATAATGACAATATGATACAGTAATAGAAAACGTAATATAGTAATTATCCGTTGCAATACACAGTTTTGATTAATAATTTAAAAGTAGCTCATTGTTTATTAGATGCAAAATGAGTGAGTTAGCTTCAGATGAAGATTAAGACAATAAATTTTATGCGAGGTACAGAAGTAGCTTTGATTTTAAAATAGAATCTTATATACAATAGAATATTCAAAAATTAAAAAATAAATGTAGGCAGTGAATAGGCGAAGTCAGTACATTGCTAAATTGAAAATTTCATCTATATAATCTCAAGTTAATAAAATTGGGTTTTTATAAATGGAATGCAAAGAAAAGATCAAAGCCTTTCCTATCTACACTTTTTTATTTTTCTCTTATCAGTTTTTGATTTCTTTAACCTTTATTTATTTATATTCGATGAAATACTGCATCTCATTTCATATTTACATCATTTTACATCAATGCTCGTTAGCGTTTATTTATTAATAATGTTTTTCTAAATAATGAGCGACAACTTTGTCACAGTATGTAAGATAACAGCCTTGTAAATATTAAGGAACGTATCGGATATCCAAAAAGTATCCAGTATCCGGTATTATTCGGCACTTTTTTTTACTGGTGGAAATATACAAGGTGAAGCATTGCGCACAATGGCGATAGCAATATTGGAAACAACCAATAAATTTTTGACCTCATACACTTTTCTGCGTATAATAGCTAGCATACTAAAAAGCCAATCAAATTTTGCCCCAAATTCACGCTCCTACTGAGAGAAAACGAAATAGTTCTGGCAACTATAAATTTGGCAACTTTTGCAATTGAAGTACCTGTAATTAGTTTTACAAAGTAATAGAAATTAAAGTAGTGCTGAATGTTATAAAAATATAGTCACGGTAACAAATTGTATGCACTATTAATTGGTAGTGAAATAGTGACTCAACTACATTGAATAGTTACTTGGACTTCATGCAAATAAATATAACAATTACATTTTTCTAGTTTAGACAAAAACTTTTTTTTAATAAAGCACTCTATATCATATAACTAATTAATCATTGTTGAAGTAACTTTAAGGAATACATTAAAAACCTTTTCTCTAAAGTTGCTCAGCACGAGCAGTACGCGGCTTTGTCACCAAAGGGACGTAACGGAGTTCAGTTCCTCCTAAGAAGGAAATCACTCAGCTTATAATAAAAGGCGCAGCGTTGGTTTCAAACTTGGAAGACAAAAATAAATAAGAAATGCATATACAAATTTGTAACATGTATTATAAAGCTTTAATAAGAACAATAAGTAAATTAAGTGAACTAAGAAAATATAGTAATATTAACCATTTGTAATTGATTATATGATTAATGTACTATATTTTTTTAATTTACTTAATTTAGTATTCTTATTAGAATTTAATAATATGTATATATTTGAGGTATTTCACTACAAATTTATAGTTACTGATGACGACTTTTTTCTCTGAGTGTACTGCGCAATCAGAAGTGCTTCACCTTGTATATTTCCATCATAATCAGGGTAAGGAGCTAGTATTGCTCCTAGTACTGCTATTAGTATCAGGCTATTCATCATCCTGATGAACTACATACAATGTAAATTACAATATTCACGAAATGTTGGCATTCTAATAATGGATCTGAACATGTACGGAGATAACCTGCGAAATATATAGCGTCTGTATAGAGTGTATATTATAAGGTTTTAGAATCGCGAACAAATATATAATGTAAAGCATTAATAGAGCAAAATAAAAACGCGATGTATTAAAAATATGTTCGCAGTATAATTCCTCGAAACATATATATACATGAAGAATTGAATCGAAAATGTAAAGAGATACAATTTGTTACAGTACGTGGCAACACCACATGTAAATTCTGCTACAAGACGTTCGCGTGCCAATCTGCATTGGAGATTCATTACCGGAGTCATACGAAGGAGCGACCTTTCAAATGCACCATATGCGATCGAGGTTTTTCTACGAAGGTAATTAAATCTATTTTACCTCGTAAAGAGCGTATTCTGCGAATTGTTAATCTCTCCTTCTCTTTTTTCTCTCTGACTCTTTTTCTTGCTTGTATGTCATCTTTGTTGATTCATATCTCGATGTTGTGATACTTTGTTAATTGTGACACGTTTAATCATCTGGATATCACATCTTGATTTATGCATCCTATTGTAAAAGTATTGTTATTTTATTTGATTTTCATACAAAAACAGATTTGAATTGATATGACTTGTATAAGCTTCAAACTTCTCAAAACTGTGTTGGAAGACACTACAAAATAATATTGTTTAAAAATATCTGCACATCTCTTCAATCATTATTGCACAATATCCCTCTAAGAATTCGAAAATACTGTCAGTTTGAAAAAACTTATCCTATTCTGCTTCCAAAGAATATATCCTAAATGGAATACTCACACACAGCGTTAAATAAAAGCTCAAGAAAAACGCTACTTCTGTCATTTGATAAAATGATTAACATAAAACATTTCGTATATCGTGATCAACTGATATAGGTACAAACACTGCAAATACATTTATTTGAATCTTAATCATCAGCTTAGGATGTTAATCATATAAAATTTTCAGAATTTAAATAATATAGTTGCAAAACTTCTTATGAGATATGTACTTTAAATGATAGGAAAGTGAAATAAGAGAGTAATTAAAAAAAATTATATATTACATATATCAAATAACATTCAGCATTATTATTAGCATTAACGACATTATGAAAATATGCGTTAATATTTAAGGATTAGTAGACAGTTAGAAATAAATAATTAAATTAGAAATGCCTTATTCGTCACGCAAAGTTTTTTCTGCTATATTTATTCGCACCACTTCTATATTTTTCTCGTTGTTCTGCTGTACTTTCAGAACGATGATTCCGGTCAGCAAGTATGCTCCTGCGCGGACCAACCCTTCGCCGCGAAGGGTCCGATTCTCCCACAACCCAATTCCCAATATCGCTCGTACCCGGCGAAATCGGCCGCCGGAAATAGTGAGAAACCGAAACGCAGGCGGCGGCGGCCTGAGGAACGGAAGAACCGGGGGCGGACAGGAACAGGAGGGGGGCGAAGGCTGACGTCTGTTTATCCTGCCGTCCGCCTGCCCCCGCTGATGCCACCCGCCCTCGGACTTCTACCCTCGGACCACGTCTTCCTGGTAAGAGTCTCCTCTACCAGCAAGCGTACAACACGCGTTCGTCCTGCGATCTCGTGCAATCGATTATCATGACCAAATCGCAATTATTTTTTTTACGTAATAATATTGTGTTCTTCCTTCTCGCGATTGAAATGATCTAAATTCAATAATTCAAAACATAATTATCAGAAGATTAAGTAAAATATATACATTCGCGCAATACATGCGATAACTTTATTAGAATAATACAGAAACGTAAATATTGATTGGATATAACGTGAATTATACTACTTTGATTAAATTACTATTACTTTGACAAACTACTATTACTTTGATTTAAAAAAGATATGTAAAAAGTAAAAAAGAAGTTCAACTCGTACGTGTATTCAAGCAAAATAAGAAGCAAAACAGATATTTTGTGATGAGTTAAATTCGTTAAGTAAGTCATTAAAGTCATATAAATTTAATATAAATGTATAATCGCAAGATGAATTTCCTATTTAAAATAACAGTATTAAGTCCCCAATTTGTACTGTATAGCATTCAACGGCGTAGATCGTTAATATATTGCACACAGATGCCTCACATGGATAACAATGTTACAACTGTTCTTTTCTAGGAACCGCAGTCAACTGCTTAATTAAATACAATAGAACGTGTTTTGATGCGCAGGGTAATATGAAGCAGCATATGTTGACTCACAAGATTCGCGATATGCCGCCACATCTGTTCAGCGATCCAAAGCATCATAACAGCAGCAGCAGCAGCAGCAGCAGCAGCAACAGCAAGAACAAGAGACTTCCAGAAGTCCAATGTGCGTCGATGATTCGAGCCTACCGCCCCCACCTCCACCACCTCCACCACCCCCGCCAATGCCACCGACGTCCATCGAGTCCACAATACCGGTGAAAAGATCGCCGGAAGGAGATCTGCCAGCACCGAAAAGACCAGCTAGTAAGTATGATTTTATTCGCGTTCGTTCGCCTTCATAAGGAAAAGAAAGAAAAAAAGACTCTTATACACAAACATACACACACCACATGCGCGCGCGCGCATACGCACAAGCACAAAATCTGCTTCTTCATCGAGCGCCACCCGTTTTATCCGAACTCAGCTTCGCTCGGCTGCGATCTCATTGCTAACGCGTTGTCAATCACGATTGACGGCCCCTCTCGCTAACGAAAACCGTAGTTTGGAATGTCTGACGCGCTACTGCTTCGCAACACGCTTGTTAGACTCACTTTTCTTCCTGCTTCTTTTGTCCATCAATATTTCTACACACTAGATTGCTGATGGCGAATTATGCTTCTATTCTGTTCATTTCTTCATTCATATAGGACAAATTGAATTTTTTGGCTATGGTGGCATCGTACTTTCATTTCCGATACTATGATACGAATAAATATTATTTTATTAGATAAAAGACGTCACTGAGTCGATTTATGTCACATTTTTATAATTTTTAAGATCCATATAGCCTCAGACTGAGACTTTAACGGTTCTTTAATCATTATCATATCACTATCACGAAGTCAGGGGCAGTTTAGCGAAACCGTTATGTGTATTTGCAGGCCTGCCGAGCAAGCATTTGTGCCAGATTTGCAATAAGAATTTCTCCTCGTCTTCGGCGCTCCAGATCCATATGAGAACTCACACTGGTGACAAACCATTCCGATGCACCGTCTGCCAGAAGGCGTTCACCACCAAAGGCAACCTCAAGGTATAACACATTAATTTTCTAGATGTCGAAAGTCTGAGTCCCTTCTACATGTTCTTGAAAAGTCTTTATTAACACCAGCTAGCCGCTACCGCTTCTACTAACGCCAAAACGCGTAAACATCGCAAGTCGCTCGAGCTCGATGAAAGATCAACGCTTACCCGATCGAAACCTGACGCGCGATATCGCCTCTTATCGCTGTTCTGATATTTTTTACCGCAGGTACACATGGGTACTCACATGTTCACCAACGGAACATCACGCCGAGGTCGACGGATGTCATTGGATATACCTCCCCTGCCAATCACGCCCAAGGACTCGGAGTTTCTGCAAAGACGACCGGATCTTTTTTACCCGTATCTTCCCGCGCCATTCCTTAACGGCGTCCAGCAAAAGGTAATGCTTATATCGCTCGAAGTGAAAGGCTGTTCCGTGTCAACGTAATTCGAAGGCAACTAGCGTAATAAGTTTTATAGACATCTTCAAATAAACTATAGAAATGTTGAATTTCATCAAGGGAAAATTCACGGAAACTTTTATTTTATCGCATTTTCCAATTTTGCATAACGATTGCTGCTCAATTTAAAACATTTGATAGTATACACGATTATAAATACTAAGGGCATCACGGAGAGCCGCATTAACAATCACCGTTTATTTCATTTTTGTAGATAATTGCTCCCGAATAAATCTAACCAGACGGCGTGCATTACTTACAGCTGAACGAGATTTCGGTGATTCAAAGTAGCAACGGATTACCGCCCCATTCCTTAAGCGCGGGCAAATACGCGGCAAGTCTATTCGGCTCGGTGTATGGTGCTGGCGGAGGTGGCTTCTCCTTGGATAAACCGATGGGGCCAACCAGTAACGGACCTCTAGTGGATGGCAAGTCCGCGATACCCTCGGGATCCATGCTCTTCCAAACACCATCGCCCTCGCATTCGCCTGGCGCGTCGTCCAATGGTGGTAATCAGACGTCTGCTAGCGTGTCTTGGACCGGTGATACTCTTCAGCATCATTTCGATCGGGAAACACCGAGCAGAACCGAGAACGACGCCACACCACCCACAGCACGGTTACCACCGCCACCAGCGAGAGGAGAGGGATTAGCCGCGTGAAACTTGACGGATACATATCTTTCTACCTAGCTACATGAAAGGCGCGATTGTTCGTTCACAGCGGCCGCATCTCCGCCACGTAAGAGGCTGATAATATAATTGATACAATTCTCTCAGACTGAATTAGTTTAGAAGAAGAAATAAAGAATCGCGACGAGTAAATGTTGATAGCGGGCAATCTCGGCTCCGCCATCCCTCCGTCCCAATCGGCGAAGGTTTATTATCGACTCATTCGGTCCCACAAGACCGCGATCATCAGGGTGGAACCTACGGTTTTCAATCGCGCAATGATGCATCGCATAAAGATGATTCCGCAAATCTCGATCGGAGCAGTCATAGTATAGCACAGCTACCTTTTCAGTGCTGTATTCGTGCATTTCAAAGGAAGACAATCTTCGGAACTGAAAACGATCGCCTAATCTCTTCACGTCGGGAGAGCACGATTGGAACGATCACCGGGACAATCGCACGATCGAACGTAGCTCGTTGGTGATCGAGTTTACTTTTGGCATTTCTCCACGTACGAGTGACGACATATCCCTACACCCCCCTCTCTCTCCCTCTCCTTTCTTCATCCCTCTTTGCGCCCGGTAGTAGTTTTCAATGTCTGCAAGCGAAGACACCATGTTCCTATTATCGCGCTAGTCTTAATATGCGTAAAAGGGGTCGGTAGATTCCATCGATCCGTCGACGGCTTCCGAGTAGGCTAGGACACTGAGAGTTTCGACCCCGATTCGAAAACTCTCGATACGCGATGGGGCTCGATCGCGTCACCGTCGCTGTTCGCATTCATCGTTTATTCAAGTCGAGGTTTTCGCGTCGCTCGCCATGATGCGGGTGACTCGTGACGAGACGTTCCGCTTAAATATTGATCCAGCGCGCGTGCTCGATCGAGCCTCGTATAACGTGCATACGTATCTACGTACGATTCGCGAATCCTTCGTACGGGATTCGTGGGAGTCCTCACGCTAGACGCGACGCCTAGACTGAGCTCAGCTCGCGAGGGAAGGCGAGTATAAGCATATTGGAGCCGCAAGACACGTGGCGTCGCGTCCTTACGGGTGTCCCCGACACAGTTCGACCGTCCATTCGCGACAGCGGTGGTCACCTCTCCGGGTTATCTAAGACTACGTTATAAATACTTATATACATAATGATATATAAATATATATCTATATATATACATATATATACGAATATATGTATAAAAGTATATATATGTGTATATATATTATAAATATAAATATATAAATACATGATTATGCGTATATATATACATATGTATACATATACTGCATTGATGCAATAGGGCGTCAATTGTGCGAGTTGTATATACGCGTGGTATTGTATATGTGTTGCTTCCGTTTGTTTACAATGTGTATGCGTGCGATGTGTATACGTGATAGAAAAACGGAATTAGAATGTGACAAATGCGAGAATGATAGAGTATAAGCATAATTTAGAAGGCGGGCCCGGCAGCGCCCCTCGCTGTGATATGAGAGGAGCAGCCTGCAATCACTAAACCAATGTACTTATATCTTGTATCATAGTATTATAACAATGATAATAAATTTATTATCGTTTACATGCATGGATGGACGTATGCAAGAGAAACAGCATGCGATATATTGCGAATGTTTGCGAATGTCTCGGAATCAGTGACTAATTTAAAAAATAACACTTTAATACTATTACTTATTAAACGTCCATCCTCCATACATCATCGGCGATGTTTGCGTTGTCGTTGTAAATATTAATTATTACAAAATTACAATATAATTAAATTATAATAATAAACATTATAATATAATCGAATAAACATTATAATATTTATTATATTTATTATAATATTTATTCTAAATGTTATAATGTTTGTTGTAATAATTATAACAACAATAATAAAATATAACAATTTTAACAAATATTATAATAAATTATGATAGTAAAAATTATAATAACATTTATTATAATTTTGATTGAAATTGTTCATATTTGCAGATACATCGCCCATAATAATATAATTTAGATTAATTATATACGATGTTATTCATTTTTGTGAAAGATTACCAATTGGAGGAGTAACGGCGTTAAACGCTATTTAAAATTTACGAAAACTTCCACAATTATTTTTCATTTTATTTTTCAATTTTACGGATAATTCAAAGATTTGTTAATTTATACAAATATGAGAGAGACTATGACTATATTATTGGCTATGTTTTAATATATTTTTTTAGACGCGATTGTAATTATTATAGTAGAAAGTTAATTATCTATAATAATAATTTATAGAAAAAATTTTTAATATTAATCTTTTATCTGTGATTTTTTAGTAAATAACCTATGTCCATGTAAGTAAAATATACATTACTATGACATTCGACATATTTAAACGGCATGACATGTAACAAAACATCTTTTACATTATTGATTGCGCGTAATTCAATTCTTTTATCGAACATCAACTGAAAATAGCCAGTAATAACTTGATACAGTAGCATTAATCATTATCACCTATATCATTATGTATTTAAACAATTACTGAACGATCGAAGCATCGCCAATGAAACGTATACCACACATTTACAACATGTACTAATTTATAATTTATTTATTATTCGTTTTTTTTGCGAAGTTCCAATCTGGTACCTATCATCTATGTACATCTACCATATCCACAATAAAAATGTAATTCTTTACACAAATAATACCAAATATTTAATAAAATCACATATGTAACGAAAAACGACAAATATTTTTTTCTTAGGAAATATGATAGTATACGTTATATCGTTAAATATGGATATTGTCAAATATGAAAACCTCCGTATGAAAATATTATTTGACTTGTTAACAAATACAAACTTCACACTTACTCTCCATATTTGCAGAAGCAATATTGAAACTCTTGCATATAAATTTCTTGTTATAAAATTTGTAAACGAAATATTTTAAAAACTCATAGTATGTTTGACTAAAGAAAATTATATTACGTGAATTAAAAAAAATGAATGACTGAATTTATACGCGCGGAGGAATATTTTCGTAGGATGAATTCTGCTCGTTGAAAAGGAGATTATTTATTACTGCAACGCTGATTATTTTACTTTCGAATAACTTCTTTCATAGCTATGATACATTTATATATTTTAGAATCATCTCTGAAATTCATGAAAGATCTGCGTGCATGATATCGTAATTAGCATGGTTGACACGCAAAATGCAATTTTACGTGTAATCAAGCCTACGTGTATGTACATACTCACAAATTAATACTCGTGTAACGGCTTCTATGTATCTTCTCCTTTTTAAGACGAAAGCCAATCTACACGTAACACAGCGAATATTACAGCGGTACATGTTACATTACGACACAAAAATGAAAAGTTCGCGTGCAACTAGAAAACATACGCACCTCTAATGGACACTTCGATAGAATTATTCATCTGATTTCTTATTAGAAAGAAAGAGAGAAAGATTAACAAATATAGAGAAGATCTCGAAAGAACTTATCCATAATTTTGACATCGATTAAGTGTCTCTTCCTCTCTCTCATCGCGTAACGTTATCAAAAAAGACAGGGGGAACCCCCCTCCCAAAAAAAAAGAAGAAAAAGTGTCACTCCAAATGTACAATCTGTCGCTTCTTTTAGGTATATCGCGTCCCCCAAAAATCAAAATCGCTGATAGCTGCTTGCTACTTACCAGTGCACAATTTGTTCGTTCGTCTGCGGGAGATGTGCCGAGAAACTTGTGAGTTCCGTTAATCGTCGAGGTAACTTGACTCGACCAAGAACAAAGAGTGATTGAACTTGATGCATCAAAGCATATCGATGTTTTGTACTTATCAAATCAGATTATATTTTTACGTTCAAAAGGAAAGAGACGTACTAGAAAGAATGAGAAATATATATCACTGGATAATATTCATCTTCGATGTGTAAGAGTGATCCTAATATAGCTACACAGTGTATAAATTATTTGTATCGAAAAGCGAAGTGCAAGTTCGATGTGTGAACCGTTAAACATTTCACTGATCAATAATTCCGATCTTTAACTAGCCGATTACGAATTAATAAGTTGTTGAATTAAGAAATAGTTGTTTTACGATATACCATAGATAATTTTTTATGAACTTGTATATTTCGCAAAAATCCACAAATACATTTCTCGTAATGATTCCATAATGGTAATCCAGAAGCGAAACAATCGATTAGAAAATCTTCCACCACTTATATTTCGTAATGATTACTGACATATAAAATTACAAATCTTTCTGTAGAAGAAAATATAGAATTTCTTTCTCCGTCTCGAGAAAGGATACCCTTTCACGAGCAAAGCGCGAAGAAAACTGTATTGTAAATAGTGAATGTGTGGCGAATAAATGGTCGATAAGTATAGCAAAGCGATTAGCAAACAGTCGATGTACATCATAAGTGTATTATTAACCAAAATTTTCGTAATTTAACGATTGATACGCGTTTAAGAGGCGCGCACACATGTACGCCGTATAAATACTTTACGAATGAAACGTTATGCGACACAGACGAAAATATCCCGATAGCCATTGACCTGGCTAATGTCCTGTGAAATTGTCCAAGAAAAGTATTGCTTGTACGATCTTAAGTTACTGTAAATATTGTATAATCCATGTATAAACACGACTGTATTAGATAAAAGACCTATCATTGTAGTTAAATACGTTACGAATCATTATAACTATATCACTTCAACAATAAACCATTATTATGATGATGAAATGGTGAAATTTAAATTAACGATTATCTATGAGCATATATAATGCATTTTATATATAATATATATCTGCATATACAATTAAAAGTTACAATCTTTTAATGTTTTTATATTTTTTATTTTCTAATATAGAATCTCTCTCTCTCTCTTTAATGTCTCGTAAATTTAATTTAATTTACGAGACATATTAGATTATAATATTAATTATAATCTTAAAGATAATTGTTAACAGTTGTATTAATTGTAATAATTGTTAATCGTTTGTACTATTTTTATCTGAAAAATAATTAATGCAAAATAATATTTATACAAAGTATATTTATAAGAACTTATATAATTACATAATACTTGTGTAAAAAAAGAATTTACATATTTCTCTTCATTTTTCGATTTTTTAAACCATTTTTCAGCTTTTTTGATCAATCTTTAAATAACAATCTTTAAATAAATCAATACTTTAAATAATATTATACTTATCTTTTCGTAACTTCTGAATGATATTTTTTTCAACTATCATATCCGGAAGAGCTGACTTCAACGTGAAGAAATAAATAATGGCGAATGTACCTAACAAGCTTGATCTACATGAGGTAATATCCCCGTCGATACGAGAAAATCTACAAAAGCTGTTTTTCCATTACAGTATTGCATTTTAATTAATTATCATATCACTCCCTTAATTATTTCAAAGATGGCATAACTTAAAAAACATGATTTTTTTAAAATTATCTTAATAAGTTAAATAAACACATTACCCTATCAAAAATGAACTAATTTCATAAAATTTGTCACAACTTAAAAAGGATGGTTTAAAAAAATTCGTCAAAATCATCACAACTTAAAAAAGATGATTTTTAATAGTTGTAAAACGGAAATTATAACAAAACTGACATTTCATCGTATGTTCTTTTTGCCGATATTAACTGTCGATAATTTTTTGTAAAGTTAAAAAATAGTTTTTCTTCTTTCCTGAGAAAATTTAACTTTTTGTGTGTGATTTTAGAAGTAAGAGAGTGACATCATGGTACACGGATTTATCAACTACTGATAAGGATACAAATAGATAAAAAATGTTCCTATGGAGGATACACAGGAATCGCTCAATGCCGATGAAAAGCGAGGGAAGTGCAAGTTGTACAAAAATAACTATCATCCTCAAATGCAACACGTTTTCATTTTACTTGCAAAAAAACATTTGACGACAATTATTATTTGCAATAATTATAATACGACTGAAAGCGAATAAAACTTTTTTTTCATTAATCCATTTTCTAATAAAATATAACATTTATTTCTTTAAATAAATAATCATTTAGATATCATAAACTTTCATCGCACAATGTTTATTTGACGATATTATGCTTTAACCTTTCGAATTTTCAGTCTTATTCTACGGTGTTCTCTGTACACTGCCGCGCCCGCTGGAAGATTAATAATATTTCTATCCAAAATCAAGAAAGACGCAACAGAAAAATTAAATTGCTTATATATTGTTAGATATTTATTACAGGAAAATGTACAAACAATTCTAACATTTTAGTTTAAATTTTGATTGATTATAATTAAATTTACTATCAGTCAAGGATAAAATCCTTAATAAATAATAAATTTAAAATTTTCTATGTAAACTATAAATTTTCAATTTAAAAATTTAAATATATTTTAAACAAAGTTTAATTTAGTAAAAATAATTCAACATGTATTCTTTTCTTTTTATTCTTTTCCATTTATATGTGTATTTTTTTCTTTTCCTTTCTTTAGTCTTGGTATTTGTTCTCTTATCGACAATTGTTAAATCAAAATTACCCCCCCCCCAATATTTTGGTTGAAAGAAATAGAGGGTATACAATATTTAAAAACTTCCGCACAATTTCTTTTTTTTTTTAGAATTTTCAATAAATAAAACAGAACTTTACTATAAGACAATTTATTATGTTCTTTCCATTACATCAAGATTTTCAAAAGACGTCCACAGAACGTATAACGTTCTCTAGATATTCTTTAGATAACCACAGCAGAACTATGTTGTCTGGATTACTAAAGTATCACTTATTAAACGCTAAAGTATCACTTACTAAACACTCTGACAGGATAAGTATAAAGACCTTTCTTGTAATTTTCTACGTTAGTAATATGATGAACTCTAGTTTCCTCCTGACCGTCGCTTATATATTCCAAAACAAAGTGCTTTTCCTCGCAACTTTTAGCTACAACAATTAATATTTTTTATTTTATTTGTCTCAGCAATGTTGAACATAATTCGACAACAAAAAGTGAAAGGCAAAAAATATTCAAAAATCAGAACTTATCGACCAAAATTCAACCAAAAAGTTATTTACTCACTATTATTATTATTATTATCTTTCTCGACTTTAATTTCCTTCCGATCATTTCCCACCACATGTATGCTTAATTTTCTAAAATTACTTCCATTATCCGTGTGCTTTGCAAAAAATTCTCTCAGATCGTTGATCTTTATATCCTTTATTGCAAGCATTTCCCTCTTGAATCTATCAAAAACATATTCCCCCTTCGTTATCTCACTCCAGTTTGTATAAACTTCATTTTCAATATCGTTATCGACAGCATAATTGTATAATTGCTTTTCGAATTTCTCCTTAAAAACATCTAATTCCTTTTCTGAAATCTCTTTCAAAATCTCATTAAATATTTTTAAAAGTGCCTCGATCTGCTGATCCATATGCTCGGTTGAGCATTTATTTGCATCAGTCGTAATAGAATACCCTATAGCTGAAGTTTCATTGTCATTTTCGCACGAGAAAAATTTGAAATCCTCAGAGCATAATATAGCATAATCATTCATTATTATCTGAAAACAAATATAGATGAATGTGTTACCTGTATGTATAAAATCAATTGCAACAATCGAATATGTCATTCATATTTTTTCCGCTTTTATATGAAAATATGGATTAAATATGAATAAAACTAAAAATTGCATTGCATTAAAAAAATATACAAGATAATATTGTTTAATACATACTCTCATCAGATCGATTAATATTGATGATTCAATCGACGTGATACCGACTTGATAATAATTTATCACTGCAGAAGTTGGATTAGTTTCGTTAATATTTTTTAACTTGCAATAGCTTACGCCCAAAGGTATTTGAACGACTCTCATCTGCTGTACTGTATTACTAAACAATGGACCGCAATTAATTATTTTGAGACATTGCTGTATAGTCTCGATTGCATCATCCTGCGTTACGTTACCTTGCACGAGGCACTGGACGTACAAATGATCGGTAAAGGATTTCACAAAGCGTCGGAATTCTTTAAAATTCACATTAGACAGAGCAGTATGTCTGTCGACGCGTGTATAATGAATAAGTTTCAATACCGATAATTTCACGTCGCTATAAGAAAAAAGAAAGGAAATTATTGATCAGCAGAAATATAATCTGTTATATTTCATTTTAGAATATTAGTTGTTATAATTAATATGTATCATTAATAGTTTCTATCAGTTACGTAAAAATTGTATAATTGTCGCAATTGTGCTTAATAAGAAATAATCAGTACTCGGCAAGTTCATCTGGACTCGCAAATACATTCATAAGATATTCCGTATTTAGTAGTGGTAATCTGCAGGTTTCAAATAAAATATTCGTAACAAGTGCAGGATAGTCTACAATGCATTTTGCAATAGTTATCAACAAGAGCTGCAATAAGTAAAACAATGTATTTCGAAATTATGTTTATAAGAAAAAAAATAATATAAGAATCCTTGGTATAAGAAACATATTAAATAAAAAAACGTATAGTGAGAGTAATGGCATGGAAATTTCAGCGCATTTTATATATTTATTTCATATTTCAATATTTCATTAATAACACAGGTCTACAAAAAAGGGGGTCTTGGATGTTGTCGGGAAGCTGTGGGTCATTTCCGAAGTAATTTTCTCCGTAGAATCCGAATCTGAAACCAGAATTGGCCCATCACGTCAGGATTTTGAGATATTAGGGGATATATACTCGAAAAATGCGTTTTTATGCTACTTTAGAGGTTATGTACAGGACGCAACCAATTTTTTGGGTCTTTTGTGCTATTTGCATCATTTAGTAATATTCTTACCCTTCAAAATGAGATATTGATCGACTACCTACGATTTTTTTTCGCCAAGTTACGGGCATTTTAACCCACTTGCGTAACCGTTTTTCCCGTCTTTTTCGTTCCTGTTCTTAACAAACGTGAAACGACCACAAATATAACAAAAACTGTTAGGATCATTTAAACACTTACGCGGGGCCATTGTTAAGACAGCAAACAGTCACAATTGTGACTGTTTATATATTAGGACCTTGAATAACGGACAGCGCGTCTTGTGCGCTGCGGCTCTGAGTGCAAGGCGTCTACCAACTTTAAACAAATCATTAGTTTTAAACTTATTAATGCAATGAAAATGAAACTTTCCAGAACATTTGTTCATATCCGAATGAACAACTTTCTCGCTGAAAGTTTTAGGATGCTCGAAATTCGCTCGATAAACGAAGCACCTGAATGCATAAAAAAGGATATTTTGCAGGTGTGTATAAAAAAAATAATAAGTTGTTTGTTTATTGATAAATATCGGTTTTTCTTTCTTCACTATACGTGGAAAACTCTAATGATCATAACTTCGAAAATAGCAAAAAAACGCATTTTTCGAGTATATATCCTCAAATATCTCAAAATCCTGACGTGATAGGCCAATTCTGATTTCAGATTCGGATTCTACGCAGAAAATTACGTCGGAAATGACCCACAGCTTCCCAACAACAAAACCTTGTTGACCTGTGTAATATGTCGAAAGTTTTGGCCACACTTCCTCAGTCATCTTCACCAAACAATTTTTCTCTCGTATTAATCTGACACACATTCTTGAATACAAGGAGAATCACACCTCTAATACCATAATTAATATTGTATAATAACTGTAGCATTCGAGTAAAGGCTAAATTAAATTTAAAAAAAAAACAAATGTAGAGCTCAAAACTGGAAATATAAGAGATATAGTTTCTTTAATATTATAAAATTCCGTAATCACATGTTGTGGAGAATTAAAGAAGATAAAATTACATATGTAATTAAAGATTAGATATAAAATTGATTTTTTATTATTAATAAAAATATTATATTCTTACACCGATAAACGTCGACTTGACGTCGAATTGATGATTTCGACGTAGGGTCGACGTCGAATTGACGGTCATTTCTCACTGAATGATCTCAGCTTTGGATTTTCCATTTGTCTTTTTTTTTATTTGATCCTTACATGAATCTAACAATTACTGTAAAAAATTAATTACGGTATTAAAAGCTGCGATATTTTCAAGATTTACAACAAAATTAACATAAGACTAAAAAGTTACTTGAGACTGAAGAAGGCTGTAAATGTGACCGAAAAGAACGAAATTGTTAATGAAATATAAAATATATTTAGCTTGAAATTTAGCTTAAATTACCACACCGTTATTCTCATTAATTTTTATTGTTTATTATATTTTTATGTTTATAACTCCAATACATACTTGATTTTATACTTACGTGCAGTTTTTCGTTAAATCCGTTTATTTTGATTACAATACCTTTCTCACTGATACTGATCTTACATTCAAATCTAGCTAATAGAGCTGGATACAATTCATCAAACAAAAGCAATGTTAATACACGACAGTATATTTCCATGAGAACTGCACTGAAATGTCATTAATATGAATATTTGTTTCATTAAGATACAAGCGTATAATTATATAAAAATCGCGATATTGGTAACTGCACGTTGATGAAAATTTGTCTCAAAATTTTCCATACAGTTTTTCAAAATTTTTATGCAAATTTCGTAATCTTTTAAAGTATATAATTAATTTTATAACTTTTAAAACATTTTTTATATTTTTTAATGAGATTGAAATGCTTTTCGGGAGTGTCGAGAAAGTCTAATCACATATAGGTGCGCCCGAACAACATACATACATACATCTTTTTTTAAATTATTTATATGAATTCTGAAATTTTCTAAGATTTTTATGATTTTTCGTTTTATAATTTTTGATAAAATCTCTCTCTTATGAAATCTGAAAAAAGTTTAAAGTACTTTTCAGAAATTATAAAAAATTAGAGATCTTAGAATATTTTAAAATTCACATTTACGAAAAGTTCTGAGGAAAGGTACAGATTTTTAAAAATCCTAAATTGTCTCATGTGACCCAAAAAATTCAGAGGAAAATTTTCACTAAGGTAGTTAAGAATTATTAGTATAGAATGTGTGTGTGTGGATCCAAAATATAGTAGTAGTACTACTACGATGTACTATACACTTTCTATGTATGCTATTACTTACTTCTTTGGCGACTGAATTCCTAAAGAAGAAACAAATTGTAAATTTATATAACATTTCGGCAAACGAAACTTAGGAGACAGGCGATACCAAATTTCTGATATATGATCATTGTATATTTTTACAGGATATTTCGGAACTTCCGCTGGTATCGGTATTAAAGAGAAATCGCTAGCAATGAATACATTCTTTAATGGTAAATGAAAATCCGGCAACGGCTCGATGGATTTCAAGCGTTCGATCCATTCTTTTGGTATCTCGGTATATGTATATTCATAACAATTTTCACGAGACTGAACTTCATGATAATCGGAAGGCAAAGAACGATGTTTTTCTAGCAAAATCGCGGTCTCTGGCATCAAATAATTCAAACACTTTTGTATAGCTTCTGGGTTATACTCAATACAAATAAGTTCATTTGCAATTATATAATCACGTGGCGGATAGAAATGCATATCCTTACACAAATTTACTACATAATCCACTGAATCTTTTTCATTAATAAATCTAAAAAGACCTCAAATTATTTGTTTCACACACATTTTTGACAGCTTTTCTTTTTCAACTATATCTCTCTTTATATATCTTTCTTTATTTATTTCTAAAATAAATTTACCTAAAATCGTTTTCCATCATCTTGTAAATGTCGTAGTGAATAATCCTTTTATGAGGATCTTCTTTTTTTAGTAAATTAATAAAGGAAAATATCGCATCTAAAACATCTTCCAGATATTTTTCTTCCTCATTGGAGAATATTATAGTAAACTTTAACACAGCATATACTGAATTATGTCTTAAGAAGTTTTCAATCTCACAATGAACTTCTTTACTGGATCCTACATAACTCGTAATTTTTTTGCGTAAATAACTTATTAAAGAACCTTTTCCTTTATACCCCATAACCCATGCGATATATTCATGTGGTTTACTTCTATAAAAATCAGGTGGCAAAGGTATCGTCCACCTTACTTGTAACTGCAAAGGATAATTGTTGTTTTATTTTATATTATACATATATTCATTATAAAAATAATTCTTTTGAAATTTGAAATTTTAATCACGTACTTCATCTTCTTGTTTAAACTTCATATACGATTTATGACAGCTTGTTTCAGTAAACATTTTTCGGATACTGGGAATATCAAAATAAACACTATCTTTTTTTTTAAAGTCATCGAGATATAATTCATTATTTGGTATATCAGCAAAACACGTCGCGATATATTGTTCTAATGTGTCCAGTGATAGTATAGCCTACAAAAACACATGTATTATGTTATATGAATGAACTATATTTGATAAGTAATCGGTGATTCTCATAGCAATTTGGACTGACAATGAGTTATGTACCTGTATAGCTATTTTCATTCTGTCAGCGCTGTAATGGCAATTTTTGAATTTGTGCAGTTCTTCGTACAATTTATCATCATCTATATTGTTGCTAAAGGTCATAAAATTGTCCCAAATAAACTTGTTGGCTGGATCAGTTTCCGCGAAGGAGGACAACGGTTGCTTCTGCTTATTCTTGGCACAAGGTACGAATTGAAACTCTATATGAACATGACATATAAAGACTGAAAGTTACACTAACTTATTATGATTATAATTTATATACCGTTTTTAATGTCCTCTCGCTCTCGTATAATGGAATCTTTCTTCATCAAGGGTTTAATGAAACATTGAGCAAAACGATCGAGAGCTGATAACAAATGCCCTTCTTGGATATTGAAGTAAAATGTTGTATGTTCGTAATCAATTGAGGCGTCAACAGATCCGCCACGCTCTTTGATAAATGCTTCAAAATTGTTTTCCTGCATAAGATGACACTTATATATTTACCCTCTGAATTCTTTTTAGTGAAATCTCACTCTAGAGAGTGAAAATTGAGCCAATCTCGATAGTGACGCAATTTTCAATCTTTAAGAACAAGATTTTACTCTTTGGAATGTTATTAACTTGAAAAGTTTAAAGAGTGCGATATACGAATAAATGAAATTTTATACTGAATCATGTTTTATTACTTGTGGGTATTTTTCGGATCCCATAAAAATCATACGCTTGAGGAAATTTGCCATGCCTGGAATTTCTGGTGGATCGTTGAAACATCCTACTCTCACACTTAAGCCACATACTGTCTGTTTAAAAGAAAATAAATAGACATATGCAATATACATGATGCATTATACATTGTATTAAATGGAAAAATTAACACATAATCAATGGAATAATCCGTAAACTTCAAATTGTACCACATATTTAAAAATAGATTTATTGAAACTTTTTTGCAGATAGTGGAGAACATCAAATTTTTTAACGGAAGCTTTTAACAAATATGATAATAGTTCTTGCGAAGACAAATTCCTTTCATGATTTTACCATCTATCTTCAATATTACAATATCAACGTTTTTCTAATGACAGGTTAAGAAAGAATTTGACACAATTTATATCCTAAAATGCAAATAAATTATCTTGTTTATACCTTTTTTTTGTCCGTCTCATTGTTTTGATCTTGAGAAACGTATGTTTTTGAATATACATCTGATATGAGCAAAGCCGTTAAACCATTTTGTAATCTGATAACTCTAAATTTAAAAGACAAAATAAACAATAATGAAATATATGGTCAGTGAGAATGTTGGTCATTTAAAAAAATCTAATCTTTCCTTGTACAAGATGGATTAATTAATTGTAACGTTTGTTTCAAAAGATTAATACTATTATACAATATTTCTCGAGCTTATTTAGATCAAAATTATTCTTTTTACTAAGTATGTGCCTTTATGTTACCTGTAATCCTTCTTATCGTTTTCCGATTTGATGGGCGTCTCCAGATATTCAACTCGATACCGATCATCGTCTTCAATACGCTCCATCTCTGCAGGCAATATATATATGACGTGCAGAAAATCGAAATGAGAAGATCCGATCTGAGAACTCGATAATAGGATTTTAAGGATTGAGAGTGTTTAATTTTCTAGTAGACTGGGAGCAATTTTAACTGTATCCGACACTCGTTTTTCTTTCTTCGTGGCGCTTATCTTTCAACAAGGATCAAACGTCTAATAATTTGTATGTTGTAACTAGACGCACGTATATAGAGAGAATAAACCGAGTCTTAGATATGCTTACTTATTTGTGTTATTTTCACAGCGATTTAGGGCAGATATTCATAGTCGATTCTTCTTCTTAAAACTGTCTTAAGTAGTCTTAAGATGTGAATAAATCAATTACAGAGCCCGCATTAACGAACTACGATAGAAAATTTTTTAGCTCTCTAAAAAAAAATATTTTGAAAAATAAAATTTAAAATATCCGTTTCTAAAGCTAAAACTACTTTCATGACTCATGCAGATAGTCCGACTGTTTATTGTCCAATGATACATCGATTTATTTTATATCGTATTAAACTATAATAATATAACTAATAATACTAAAGCAAAATTTTTTTTGTTTCTTACACTTTGGTCCTATGATAATCTGAACCCAATTCGACTAATAGGCATACCGAAATGAAAAAGCTCTAGTTTACGACTGACCGATATATACCAACACACGCGTCAATTATTATATTATCAATTGGTTGAAAAAAATAGAGTATACAATATTTAAAAATTCCCGCACAATTTCTTTTTTTTTTTTAGAACTTCCAATATATAAAATGGATTATATATGAATAAAACAAAGAATTGCATTGCATTAAAAAAATATACAAGACAATATTGTTTAATACATACTCTCATCAGATCGATTAATACTGATGATTAAATCGACGTGATACCGATTTGATAATAATTTATCACTGCAGAAGTTGGATTAGTTTCGTTAATATTTTTTAACTTGCAATAGCTTACGCCCAAAGGTATTTGAACGACTCTCATCTGCTGTACTGTATTACTAAACAATGGACCGCAATTAATTATTTTGAGACATTGCTGTATAGTCTCGATTACATCATCCAGCGTTACGTTACCTTGCACGAGGCACTGGACGTACAAATGATCGGTAAAGGATTTCACAAAGCGTCGGAATTCTTTAAAATTCACATTAGACAGAGCAGTATGTCTGTCGACGCGTGTATAATGAACAAGTTTCAATACCGATAATTTCACGTCGCTATAAGAAAAAAGAAAGGAAATTATTGATCAGCAGAAATATAATCTGTTATATTTCATTTTAGAATATTAGTTGTTATAACTAATATGTATCATTAATAGTTTCTATCAGTTACGTAAAAATTGTATAATTGTTGCAATTGTGCTTAATAAGAAATAATCAGTACTCGGCAAGTTCATCTGGACAATAGGAAGTTTTTGCAATATCATTTATTATCCAGATATAGTGAACGTTAAGGTCACGTTATTTTTTTCTTAACAACTTATTAAGAAAAGGATAATATGACTTTACATTTACCTTATCTGGATCCATTATTGCAAAAACTCATTATTGTCTTTCTCTGCGGAAACGCGTCCACAGTGACTGTATCCGTATCACGTATCATTTCTTTAATATTTCGGCGAAATACTGATCAAATACTGACTTCAAGTGGATTATGATCGTATCGTATCTGTGTATCAAAATGATATGTAGATAAGATACGCAGACACGACGGCGTCTTTATTCCTGATATTTTTAATTCTTAGCACTCAAGGCTTCAGTTCTCATGGAGGTAGAGGATGATAGATTGAATTTTTTTGATGTTATAGTGAGTAGGGATAATGAGTTGATATAGAGTTCGATTGGTATTATAAGTCGATCTTCTCGGGTAGATATTTGAACTTTTGGTCGCAGCACCCGGTTTCTCAAAAGATAGGTACAATCGCGGGATTAGTAGATTGATAGGATGGTCTTGCTCTCGAATCCTAAATTTCACTTTGATAATTTCTGTTTCATAATTAAAATATTGTTAGAGAATGATGCAGATTTACAAGCATTATTGGATGAAAATTCAGCACAACCCACTTTAGAACTTGCTAGAGAATTAAATGTTGATCGTACAACAGTTATTAAACATTTACGTGATATATTGTTTAAATGAATTAGTTTTTGAGAAAAAAAACCCTCAAAACTAAATCACACTCCTAATATTTAAAAAAAAGTCCGATTTGTATAACCACGTTTATAAAATAATATTGTCTATTAATTTTATAGGTATAAGTTCCTCGATTTACAATCGTTTTCTCAACTTTATCTTGTAACACAGAACAGAAACATTAGAATTCTTGCTCTACTTGCAATTATTATGTTATCAAATTGAGTGGTCTGTTTATAATTACTCTGATTGTAACTACGATTTGTAACTACTACGATTTATCAGTCATAGTTAATGAAACGATAACTTTTATGGGTACGATATTCGTAGTAATGTGTATACATATAAGGTCGAGTTTATATACATCCCAATGTGCAATCAATTACACACATAACTAATTTTTCTATTTTGTTCTCGAAAACCGTTTATTAAGTTTAAGATTAAAAATAAAAAAATATTAGGTACCGCGGAAAGTTCGTGTCATTTTTTCAAGAGATGTTTATAAAATGTGCGAAAGTAATACGCTGTATAAAAACATGCAAAAATGATATAGTTAAATAATTTAGAAGCGCAGCGACATATACAGTTTATACGCATATATTATATCAGTGATTGAAAATAATTTTGTTCCATTTTGATTTAATTCTGGTAAACTGTGCATTGTATACTGGTCTAGTCGTCTCTCGTTGTCACACGTCGGAGAAACGCGCGTGCTCCGCTATCGACCAGAAACCCTAGTCCTCCTCCACGTCTCGTCACTTCTCGCCCAGTCTCGATCCACCGCGGCGTCTGAACGCACTCTCGGCTGAATCCCAGCTCGCCGGGGCGCGGCAACGCCTGCCGAAGCATCCCCGAGGATCGGCCGTTGAACGTGAATACTTCCATCTCGCGTGCTCCGATGACAGACCGGACATCGGTGCGAAGATGACGAGAGAGAGACTGACGGATCGGTAGCTAAACATCAATCTGTATCTATATTTTCCTAAAGAAGATGAGAAGCTCATATCCTGCTGATGTTTGAGTTTGTATCTGTGTCTCTCCGAGAGATCGGATTCAGCATGGCAATAAGTGTGGCTGAAGTGTTATTGTCGACGGTATTAATTAAGGAAACAATTAGATATTAGAAGCGTAACGACGGTGCCTCGCCGCTGCAACTTAAAATTGCACTATAAGAAGATTTTGAAGATTCTATCTGAGTGTTGTTACTGAAAAAAATATTACTGAATATGTATCATGTTCAAGCATTTCGCGCGTTATATCTGCGAAATCATAGACATCTAAAAACAGCTGTTTGAGAGTTTCATCTCTTCAAGTTCACATGCGCAAGGACGCAGGATTCGACCGAATGTATGTATGTCTTATTTCAGGTTTCGCCTGTTGACAATATTAATATTATTTGTGATTTATATACTTTAAGATTAATAAATAAAATTAGTCTCTAAAATTCGCATTATTTCTATAAGTTTCTTTTGTTTTAAACCAAAAAATTTTATTTTAAATATTTATAGATAACTAATAAAGAATTTCAAGAATCTTTACGAAGATAGTTTTTCTATATTTATTTGCTCTAAAATTTAAGATTGAATTTATTATTAAATTTATATTATATTATTATTAAATTTATAATTAAAGAAAATAAAATTGTGAAAAATCAAATATTTATTTTATATTCAAATAAAATATTTAAAATCACAAACAAAATTATATTTAATTATAATTATCAGGGATGCATCGAATGTCGGATATCCAGCGTCAAATTCTTTTCGGATATCCGATATCTGGTCGGATATCCGGTAGAGCAATTCTTCGACCGGATACTAGAAATTTCCGGATATCCTGTCGGATATCTAGAAAAAGGCTTCCAAGAAAAAAGATAAAAATAGCGATAATAATTTTCTTTATCTTTCCAGCGTGAAAAGAAAAAAAGAGGAAAGAGAAAAAGGGAGAGAGAGAGAGAGAGAGAGAGAGAGAGAGAGAGAGAGAGATGACCTGTACAAAAAAGTCAGTTGAAAAGAATACAATTTTACATTAATAATGCAAACTATCAATATAAAATGTCAATCAAATATATATTACCGGTATACTAATGATATTCGGCCGGAGAGTAAAAAAGTGCCGGATAATTCCGGATATTTCCCGGATATCCGATACCTCCCTAATAATTATTAGACCGATGAGAAAAAACAATTAAGAAAAAAATAAATTTATTTTTGATTAAAAAAGGATCTTAGTGCTCAATTATTATATATTTTAAAGTGAAGTGTTGTATACATATCCAAAATTATATTTATTATTGTTTATGAATATTTTTATACAAATATTTCAATACAAGATTGATTTTGATAAAATTAAGTATTAAAAAATAAGAAGTTTAATATTTAATTGAATTCAAATGTTCTCTCCTCAGTGTATTTAAAATTAAATTAAAAATGTCCGATTTTATTATTTGTTTATATACTATGATTTTTGTCAAAACAAATTTATTCTGAATTAATTAAAAAATTCGTAAACAAAATATTTAATTATTTCATAAAGCATTATATATCAAGAAATAATATTCATACAACATTATAATACTCATACAAGACACCTCATTTGAAGGACGTCACATAAACGTCACGATATTTATACGATGTCGTCGTATATATATCGTGACGTTTATGTGACATCCCTTGAATGACGTGGTGTGTGTATATGGATAATTTTATCTTTTGTTGTAGAAGCATGAAGAAAAAACATCTGGAACATTAACATTAGTATATAGCTGTGCTGACGATGTTCTAGGAATACAATCGATGGATGCACCTGCTCTGGAAATGTATACGTCATTAAACATAATATACAACCAAGTAGA